AAAAGACGGTAGAACACAACACAAACAAAGGGAAGACCATGTGAGGACACAGAGAACAGGCAGCCATCTGCAACCCAAGGAGAGAGGCCTCAGAAGAAACCAAACCTGCCTGCCCGATACCTTGTTTGTGGACTTCTATCATCCACAGCTGTGAGACAATAAATTTCTGTTATTTCAGTTACCTAGTCTGTGGTATTTTGTTACGGCAGCCCAAGCAAACAAATACAGAACTGCATAACACTTCTCTTGCCCTCTATTTCCATTACCAAGATTTATGAAAGAGACAAGCCTCCAATTTCTATTCCAGATTCTGAAACCTATCACCAGGAAGGACATGGAAAGTAAGAATAAGTATACATTTATAAATATTATGTGCTGAATTTGTCTAATTTAAGGTTAGTGTCTCTTGCTCAGTAAAGGTAGAGACTAATTTTTCTATTTGGGATTTATATAATTACTTACATTACTCTATATAGAATAGTTTTGTTTCAATATTAAGTACATATGCAAAAGAAAAAAGAACATTGCTCGAAAGTATGCTCTAAAAATGGCTATGAAAATCCAAGTAATACATAGCTTCCTATTAAAGTCAGTACTCCTGTATTTATTTCCAATTTAACATGATTAATTCAAAATTTAATATTTATCATGTATATTCTAAAGACCAGAGAAACATTTTTTAGTCATCACCAGAAAACCAAATGTCTGTCTGAAGTATAGACATTGGAACAGCCACAATGCTAAGAATTGTATATTCATTATCTTATTCAATCTTTATACCAACTCTGTGAGATAGACCACTTAGGCTTAGGAATATTTTATAATGTATATATTCACATTGCTAGTAATTTATGGAGGCAATAACCTATGGAGCTAGTAACTTGTTCACCAAAGTTTGAGTTCAAATTTTATTTTCCCCTCCTAGTATTTTTCTAAAATACATACACAAGTTATTATGCTTCATTCTAGGTAGATTTGTATGCATATGGACTTGCTTTGTGTTTACTACATCCAATATATGTTACAAGTAAATAGATTTAAAACATTTTAAATGTTAATCCATTAAAGTTTTAAAATACTGAACCTAACAATCTATTAAAAATAACAATTTGAAGGATTACTTAACAAAGTTACCTTTCGAACAAATGATTTCCTATATTCATTCATTTCACCAATAATATTACGTTTGAATTCTCCATAATCAACCTTGCCATTGCCATTGTCATTCATAATTAGCCATGCAGACTCAAAATCCTAGAAATAATGAGAGATAACTGTTTCATTTTTAAGTTTTATATCATCACAACAAAATCATCTTAGTTGTATTTTGTTACATCTTTTGTAGTCCTAGATATGATAGCTCATTTAATATGAACATTGAAAAAGTTATAAAAAAATCCAATCAAAGCCACTAAAAAAGTGATTTAGAAGAATCTGTGGTTAACAGTTCTGTAAAGTCAAGAGACATTTAGGAGTGGCAATAGCTCACAAATTTATCTTTTTAAATTTTATTTTTGATGGACTAACAATTGTATATATTTATAGGGCACAATATGATATTTCAATACATGTCTACATTTTAGAATGGTACAATCATATCTATCATCTTAAATATCATTTATTTGTGGTGAGAACATTTAAAATCCTCCCTTTTAGGTATTTTGAAATATACATTATTATTAACTATAGTTACCATGCTGTGCAATAGATCACCCAGAACTTAATCTACTATGTAATGAAAGCTTGTACCTTTTTCATTACATAGTAGAATTTGTTGTTGTTAAAATATTGTTTTACTGTGATAATTCATAACAGAAATTTTACTCTTTTTAAATTATACTTTAAGTTCTGGGGTTCATGTGCAGTATACACGTGCCATGGTGGTGGTTTGCTACATCCATCCCCCCTCATCTACATTAGGTATTTCTCCTAATGCTAGCCCTCTGCAATACCCCAACCCCTGCTATCCCTCCCAAATCCCCCCACCCCCTTCTATTCCTCCCCTAGCCCCCCAACCCCCAGGCCCCAGTGTGTGATGTTCCCTTCCTAGTATCTATGTGTTCTCATTGTTCAACACCCACATATGAGTGAGAACATGCAGTGTTTGGTTTTCTGCTCTTGAGTTTGCTGAGAATGATGGTTTCCAGTTTCATCCACATCCCTGCAAAGGACATTAACTCATCCTTTTTTATGGCTGCATAATATTCCATGGTGTATATGTGCCATATTTTCTTTATCCAATCTATCATTGATGGGCATTTGGGTTGGTTCCAAGTCTTTGCTATTGTGAACAGTGCTGCAATAAACATACATGTGCATGTAAATCGTGTTTATAATAGAATGATTTAGAATCCTTTTGGTATATACCCAGTAATGGGATTGCTGGGTCAAATGGTACTTCTATTTCTAGATCCTTGAGGAATTGCCACACTGTCTTCCACAATGGTTGAATTAATTTACACTTCTGCCAACAGTGTAAAAGCATTCCTGTTTCTCCACATCTTCTGCAGCATCTGTTGTCTCCTGATTTCTTAATGATCGCCATTCTAACTGGTGTGAAGTGATACTGTAATGTGGTTTTGATTTGCATTTCTCTAATTACAAGTGATGATGGGCATTTTTTCATGTTTGTTGGCTGCATAAATGTCTTCTTTTGAAAAGTTTCTGTTTATATCCTTCACCCACTTTTTGATGGGGTCGTTTGTTTTGAAAACTTGTACCTTTTAACCAAATTTCCATTTTCCTTACATACCACCCCCTGCCCCATGCTCTGGTAACAAATTTATCTTTTCAACTTTATTTCTATAATATATCTATATTCTATATATAAACCTATATATAAACTATTATATATATATACAAACCTATATATAGAATATAGATATAGATATATAGAGATACCTATCTATCGATGTGTGTGTGTGTGTGTGTGTCTGTATATGTATGGTTACCATTTACTCAGTTTTGAATACTTAAATACTTTTAATGTATTATATTTCTATTAATTCAAAACTCATTTCAGGTCCTAGAATACTTCCAGTGGCATTATAATCACTAATTATATTTCTGCTAGTCTTCGCGTTTGAAAATATAGATTTGAGTGACTCTAATGTTATTCTAGAATTTACACTGAAAGGTATAATTTTAAATAAATCCCTTATGCCAGTTCATTCACTTTACCATTACCATTTACTTCTTCAGCAAATGCACTATTTAACAGAAAGTTCTATCACAGTTTTCCTTGACAGCAAAGAAATTGCAGCATCATTTTCTCAGACTCAAGTAAATACATTTTTTCATGTTTTAAATGCAAATGTAAATAAAATACCTAGCAAGGTGCTTGGCAAATAATAGGTACTCAAAAAATATCATCTTTCACTCCCTCCTATTTTTTTGAAATAAAATTTTAACTAGAAAAACAAAATCTAAAGATGCCTTCCTTCCCTCAATTCTCAACAACCCCATACATCTTTGTCTATCATAATGTATTGCACATAATCCAGACTCTAAGTATCTATGCAGTTAAACTGAAGATGAGCTTGACCTTTAAAACCATGAGTAATATGTACAGGAGAAGACCAATTTGTTTACCAATTCGTGGATTATTAGAATTGAAAGATACTTTTTGAAGCTTAAAAGAAATAATTTTTGAGAATTAAGTAATTTAACATAGATAGATCTAGATAGATAGATAAATAGATAAATATATATATACTCCTTCTTTCCAAGATATAGTACAGAATGGAAAATAATTACATTGAAAAAAAAACCTGAAGTAAATCATTGATAGTATCTCCACATAAATTAGGTTTTTTAGGATACATATCATATTGTTTTAATCTCAACTCAGGGAGAATGGCTGACTATGCCTTCCCACAAACATTCTCTAGTTTCAAATTAGACTCAGGTTAGTGATTCTTATGTTGTTCTTCTCAAGCTGTTTGTATATGCTTATCATTGCATGAGCAGTTTACAGTGATATTACAGAAAAAAATTATTAAAATATATGAGAAAAGGAGGTAGCTTATTCACATTTTCATATGCTCCCTCTATGTTAGAAGTCTTACATAATTATCGTAGTTTTTATTCCTAGATCTAATCATAAAAATTTAGCGAATTAATCAAAAAGGGAAGTATAGTTGTGATACAGAAAAAGTACTAGACAGGAACATATTATGTGTGTTCTAATCCTATATCAGCTATTAATTACTTGTGTGTGATATTATGAACACATACACACATACACATGCAAGCCCACATGCGTGCGCATGTGCACACACAAACACACACACACATATATCTATATATGTTTCCATCCATAGTTCCCAGTTCATAACTCCCATTGCCCTTCCTTGTTACAGTCTTTTATTATAATGTTAGGACACTTTAGGCCTCAAAAAATGGAATCTCTCTCTGTGTGACCTTCTCCTGCCCTTCTTTTACGTGCTCCTTTCCCTCTTCAAGGCAGAATCTTCCCCTGCCTTTCTGTGTTGGAGCTGGCCATAAACAAATTCTCCGACCTGCTTATCTAATTGTAGGCCAGAAGACCCCATTTCAGAAGGAATGCTGCACAGAGAGGCCAAGAAGAGTCTGAACAGGCATTCCTTGCTGGGTTTCCTCCTTCGGTCTATCAGTATTAGGTCATACACTTTTGTCCAATCACATTTCTACACAGTTGTCCATGTATCAATCATCTCTATCCACTGCAGTCTCCACTGTCCTCTTGCAGAAGCCAAGAGGATAGGGTTCAGGGAGCTTCTGGATAGCTAAGCTTGTGGAGGTTCCTGGAGGGACAGCATGAAAGCTCTGCACTCCCTCCCCCATACCTCGCCCTATTCATCTCTTCATCCATAAACTTTGTAATATCCATTAGAGTAAATCAGTAAATATATGTTTTCCTGAGTTTTGTGTGCTGCTCCAGCAAATTAATTGAACCCAAGGAGGGGGTCATGGGAACCCACAACTTGAAATACCTGATCACAAGTTCCAGGGACCTAAACTTGTGACTGGTGCCCTACGCAGAGTGTGTTGGGAGAAAGGATTGTCTTGTAGAACTGAGATCTCACCCTGTGGGACCTAAGGCTATCTCCAGGTAGATAATGTCAGAATTGAATTGAATTAGAGGATATCCATTGGGTGTCTACTTCTTTGTATGTGTGGAAGCCCCACATGCATTTGGTTGCAGAAGTATTCTGTGTTGATTATTGCTGTGTGAAAGCAGAGGAAAAGCATAGTTTGTGTGATTTTTCCATTTACACTCATGATTATAGGCAAAGACATCAAGACTTTCTAATTTCCTATCACTGTTTTGTTGTTGTTGTTGTTGTTTAACTACAAAATGAAGAGAAGTTAGATGATCCTTGGTATATATCAGTGGGTGGGCCAAAAGATTAAACATCATAAAAACCCAAAAGATGGGTATGTCAGAAAAATGTTCGGCAACATCATATTGGCACAGAATTTTACAGCTGACAAGGCATATTCCCATGTAATTTTCTCATTTGAGCTTCCAACAAACTAACTATAGCAATTATCCCTGATTGCTCAGGCAGAGCCCATCAATCAAAAAAGTTAAAAGACCAGTCCAAGATCACAAAGTTCAAATAGTAAAGTTAGAACTTGAACCTAAATGTCATAAATTCAATTTACAGTGTTCTTTCTACAAAATACACATCTTGTGACAAGATCATTTGAAGCAAAAGAGAACAATGCAAGAGATCCTTTATCTGAAATCCTTGAGACAAATATGATTCATGTGCTTTTAGAATAAAATCCAACCTGCTTAGCATGATGTGCAAGACGTGTACCAGACATTTCTCTCCATTCTTCTCTTTTCCTTCCTTCCATAAATTTATCCATTCACACTAGTGCATTATCTATTTAACTTTCTATATACTGGGTTCTATTTCAGGTGTTAGAAAAAGTAACACAAAAACACCCCAGTCCCTGCCCTGATGAGACTTCATGATCTACTTGCAGGAAAAGACAGAAATACTTACAAAGAGGCATGAAAAAAAATAAAATAAGAAATTGGTACAGAAAGGACTGGGGATCAGATGGGAGCGTTCCTTTAAACAGAAGTGTCAGGGTAATGCTCTTGGCAAAGAAAGCTGTGGCCTGAATGATAAGAAAACTCAGCATGCAAAGATCTAGTAGAAGATTATTTACAGTGGAGGGAACAGTATGTGTGAAGATTATTAATTATTTGCAGTGTCGGAAATAGGCCACACTCCCTACCCCTCCAAGCTTTCATTTATGTGTCTCCTTTTCATAAAATACCCACTGTCTGACTCACATTCTTCTTTCTCCCTTGTCTGGTTAGTTCCTCCTCAACCTTCAAAACTCAGCTTGGACATTTCCTCCTCCAGGCATCCTTCCATGATCTTCGTTCTTCTTCCCCATAACCTGTCTTGGAATCAGTTACCTATCCCATGTGTTCCAAAAACATTCTCCATTGAATACATAGTTGGTTTTATGTTCATTTTTCTTCAATTATGATGATCTTGAGAGTACAGAGTATTATCTCAGAGCTTAGCACAATGCTTGGTTATTAAGCTCTTTATAAATATAGGATGGAGCAATGTTTAAACTTTAAAAACCAACAGGGTTTATCACCTAATGGCTTAACACTGCTAAGAGGCCAGAAGATGAAAACTAAAATTTCAGTAGAACCGTGAATAACACCACTAAGAATAACTTATCCACTGCAGAGAACTTTCTGTGGCACATACCTTTTCAGACACTTCTAAGTGAAACACTTTAAGAGCTTGCTTAAAATCTGCCTTATCTAGAAGTCCATTTCCTTCCTTATCCAACTGTTGAAAGTATTTTCCCAATTCAGTCAAAATACGAACACCTCTTTTATGTAGTTTTTCTTTTAGCAGATCTGTTCAATGAGAAGAGAGATGAAAACAAATTGTTCCCATGCATAAATGTATAAAGCCACAGTTATCTTTTGTAAGAAAATTAAAGTTGATGTAACTGAAATAAGGAATGTGAATATTCAAACAAATCAAATGTAAGACAAAAGACTCTGGAAAATAGGATGTTTTTAATCCAAAGGATTAAGTATAAAATCATATGTAAATATGCCAGAACTATAGCACCACTGTGTGGTGGAAGTGATGTATTTTAAAAACAGAAAATACGGTTTCACTTTATTACCCAGAGAATAACCTAAATGTTACAAATAAAATATTAGATTTTGTTGCATAGACAACTTCTTTAACCACTCCCATATCTTGAATCTGTTTTCCTTTTCTTAGTTTTTATCAGCCGAATTACAAAATTGATGACAGGAAAGTCTCTCAAAAATTATCAGTTCAATATTTTAAAAATAGCTTGAAATCTTCAAATTGTAACTTGTATGTAAAATAGCATCAAGGTTTTTGAATGCTATCCTGTACTTATATATTTCATAAGAGGTTATATCCTTAGCTCCCTAGCATTCTCTTTGTAACTGTTATTTTACTTAATGCAATTTATGCCATATTTACTTAAGAATAGAATGGTAACTTTACTAAAGCAGTTATTAGATGAATACATGACAGATAAAATACATAAGATAAATACGTGAGAGAAAAAAACACATCACTAAGTTCAATTGTGACAAATACAAATATTGTATTGACTATGATATAACAGAGAAAACTGTTTACAAATAATGGCATCAAGAACATTTGAGAGTTCAAATAAAACTTTTCAAATCTGTTTCTTGCCTTCTTACTGTGAGCACCTCATCTTTAAAAAATAAATCAGGATTCATGAAAATTCATAAAGTAAGCCAATTTATGGTAGCTCATGACTATAATCCCAGCACTTTGAGAGTCCAAGGTGGGAGGATCACTTGAGCCCCTAAGTTCCAGACCAGCCTAGGCAACATAGCAAGACCCTGTCTCTATGAAAACAGAAAAACAAACAAACAAACAAATTAGCCAGGTGCAGTGACAAGCACCTGTAATCCTGGCTACTCAGGAGGCTGAAGCAAGGAGGGTCACTTGAAACCAGGAATCTGAGGCTGCAGTGAGCTGTAATTTTGCAACTGCACTCCAACCTGGGCAACAGAGCAAGGCTCTCTCTCTCAAAAAAAAAAAGATTCATAAATTATATGTTAATTTCTGTGATTGCTTGTTCAATATCTTTCTCCATTTTAGCCTATGAGATCCAAGAGAATAACTGCCTAATTGAGTGTGTATATATATATATATATACATATATATATATGTATATATATGTGTGTGTGTGTGTGTGTATATATGTGTGTATATATATATATATACACATACATATATATATATATACACACACATACACACACACACACACACACACATATATATATATATATACACTTTTTAAAATAAACCAAGGGGAAATATAAATCAAGTGCCACAGAGAAATATCTGGAAATATGCTGTTTCACTGATTATAAAAAAAAGATTGAAAATTCAAAGTACTTGAGAATATAGTAATAACACATACCTTGAATTGCCTTGAAGACCAGCCTATCATTGGTTTCTTGACTGATTATATCATCCTTCTGTTCCATAGAAGTGGTTCTGCAATTGACATGTTCACAGCAATGAAATATATGTGTGTATGTGTGTGTGCAGATAGATAGATAGATAGATAGATAGATAGATAGATAGATTCTATTTTACAATCTTGATCATAAAAACTCTAAGCTCTTCCCTGCTCCAGACTCAAAGAAACTCTCAAGCTTGGAAGAGTGTTTAGAATTTAATCAAGTCCAAACTCTGCCTGCTGCTTCGATCCCCAAGAAGATTAAATTGAGAGCTAAAATCCTTAAAATCTTACAATAACTACTTGTAAGCATTAATTTTTGTAACTATTTTAATGTTTTAAATATTTAATTAAAATGATTAAATTTAAAATAAATTTTACCTGGTAATGTATAAAGTGTAAAAATGTTATTTTAAAAAGCCCCCTCAAATGCATTCAATTTTAGCAATATAGTAAATGACAAAGAAACCCAGACTTCCTTACAGTCAATAGGTAGGACATAGTCTCTAATATGTATATTATTTTGTAAATATATATAATCACAGGAATATATATATGCTTTTTAAATCACATGTATGTATTCCTGTTATTTTTAAAAAGTACATTTTAAAAGCAATGTTTGATGTATAGCACTATTTTTTCACTATGCACTTTATCAATGAATACTGTAAGCATGAGACCCTAAGACTTTTTTAATACTAAAAAAACCATCATACTAACAATGTGAAAAAATTGTTATGATATTGTATTGCTATCCTATTTTTTTTTAATTTATTCCTTTTGGAAATATTTGGTAAAATAAAAGTGTTAAAGCAAAGGCAAATTAATAAGGTATCTTTAACATAAAATTGAATATTTTAAAATATTTAATTGATATAACTGTTCCCACACATGAAGTGTATTTGAGTACAATATAATAAGTAAAACAGACACACATAGCTATGCTTGTATTTTAAAAATATAAACATTAATGAAGTTATAAATACCTTGTAATAGAATGTCATTTTAAAATAATTTTAAAAGAGTGTTTTCACCTACTTTCAAAATGCCAAATGCATATTTGACTTACTTGAGAGAATCCAAAGCTATTTGATCAATATTTGTAATTCGTAGTTTAAGCAACGTGTTTTCTTTGATGCTTTCTGGAAGGCTGAGATGATCACAACTCAAAAATGTCAAGGTTGCACCCTAAATAAATGAACAGATGAATGAAGCTAGAAAGTATATAAGAAATTAAATATAATTAACATTAATTTAAAATAATTAATTTGATTAATGTGACATGATATAATTTAATAATGGTAAAAAAGTATATTTGGAGAATGCTTACATGTATTTGGAGAAACTATACAGATAAAGAAACTAATATTTCTGTCACTCTAAGAATAGCCTTCTATTTAACAATCCATGTGAACAAAAAATCTAGCAATATAATAAACTCAGATTTTTTTTAAATGAGAATGAGAGGAAAAAAGAACAAATAAGTTAATTGAAATTATGACATCCCTAAATAGAGCTATTGGCCCACAAAATTATATACCACAAATTGAAGAACTGTGAAGATTTCTCATACTCTTCAGCTGAACTATTTGATGACAGATGTTGCCTAACTATAAAACCTAATTTTAACCTAATTAGAGCATTAAAACTTCAGCCACAAAATTCCTATCAAAGATTCTTAATCTAAACTTATAAAATTATTATTTTAATTTCTGAGCTGCTCAAATAAACATAACCAGTGTTAAGGACAAATACAAATTTTAAATAGGGGCTTGATTCTTCCTGTTAAATATAAGCGGAGAATGTTCCTCCCCTCCATTTTCTCAGCACATTTACTTTACAGAATTTGTAATTATAATGTAAGTACTTTTTCCTCTCTTTGAAATGCATATAAATACTTGTAAAAATTAGATAAGCTTGTTGTCAACTTTATGACCTAGATAAGGCTTTCTCAAGGACTTGTGAGCCACTCTTTGAGTGTAGACATCAAGCGAAAGAGCACTCCTGTCTCCCAGTTTCTGTGACAGCGTGGGGGCCTAACTTCCTTAGGCACCTTGCTCTAAGCGTAAAGCCACCTCTGGTCACAAAGATATAAAGAGTTTGTGTTTTTCCCCTGGATAAAGCCAATTAGCTAATACAGTTAGTCACTCTAATTACCAGGTGAATCCAGGATAAAATAGGTGTGACAAATGGTACTGTGGAGTCCTCTTACTTGAGGACTAGTTATTGTTTATCTCAAAAACATGTATGTGTAGGGGGAGGAAGGAAGTGAACCTTTTCCTCTCCATCATAATGCTCACTGCCCATATCCCTGTAGCAAAAGACAAGTTTACAAGAAAAAAGCGTAACAAATTTATTAATGTATATAGGCATAGGAGCCATACAAGAAAAAGAAAAAGGGAGGGTGGGAGGGATGGAGGGAGGGAGGGAGGAAGGAAACTGTGCATCCTCAAAGAATAAACCTACTTTAGGTAAAGAATATCTCCTGGTGCTATTGAGATAGCCACTTGCACAATGACACAGCTTTGAAGAATCTTTCAAAGTATGATGATACAACTTCACCTAGAGACAACCCACATTGTGGAACAGGAAGGGGAGGTGTTACCAGAAAATAAATGCTATGCGTGGATTCAGATTTGGGATTTGGGGCTGGGAAGCAGAAACTCCTGAGAAAACATCAACCATTAACCCCTTCACACAAATAACCCTGGTCAGTATGGAGTAGAGGAGATAAGTTGAAGACTAGAAGCCCTGCTCCTCCACCTCCATGGGACTCCAAAAATCCAACATCTGGTATTAAATGTGTGCACACACACAGACAACTTACAACATAAAAATCACCAAGTCGGTATTGTTTTCCTTTTCTTCGTCCGCATTGATGACTATAAATTTTTTTTTGAATAAAAGGAAGCACAATTGTTCTAGAAAGTAAATAAAAAATCAATGTAGTTACTTAGCTTCTCTCAGAAGCGATCATCTTCAGAGTTCTAATAATGTTTTATGGCATACCTATTTTTCCCAAATTGTCGATATTCATAAATTGTAAGGGACTGATCATGAGTGAAAAAGAACCCAATCAGCTCTCTGCAAGCATCACGTCCATTTCTGGAAAAATAGAATGACATCAAACATCTTGAAATAGAAAACTTTTTATGTTAATTAACTAAAAAAAAGTGTGCCTCTCAAGAGGGATAACTAACTTTCTTATGTATGTGGCAATGAGTGAAGGTTATGGGAAACTGTAGGGAAAATACAAACACAGTTTGCTGAAATGTCCACTTAAATTAGATTTGAATGAAGAAAAAAATAATGTTACACTGACATAAAAAGTGGATATATTTACAATGTAGATTATTAATTCAACATAGACTTTTAAGACAAAGTAAATTATCTTTAAAAGTGCTGAGCTTGCAAGAAGGCACCCAGAGATACAAATTTAGTATCTTTTATTGCCATAGAAAGCTTTAAAATCACTAAACAAATATGATAATTTAAAATACACATTTTACCAGTAATATACAAAGAACATCAAGTAGAATTATGTATTACTGGAAGATTATAAGACTGAAATAATACAGTTAAGAATCATTTTCCTTGTCACTTACTGCATCTATCAATAACGTTAAATCATTAAGATAAAATTAAAGCAGCTTATAAAATGTTACAATACTCTAGTAGTAATACAACTCTTTCAAAAATTCACTTCTAAGTTACTTTTTAAAAAACATTTAAATTTGCTTTAAAGATGACTTTTAATTAGAATGTTTTTCCTACAGATTCATATTTCCTATATTTTATAACAGATTAATAGCTATTACATTAAAAAGTGTGTTCTAAATTTACATATTATTTAAATGATACAAACCTATCTCATCTCATTACTATTTCTATTCAAAAAGAGAAAATTTTTATAATCATAGGATTGAAAATTTTAATAAAATCACAATTACCGTGATATGATCCTACCATCAAACTGTAATTTATGAGAAAGCACATTTTCAGTTAATGTAGAATTAGTTCTTATCCTGTTAAGAAATACATTTTGTCAGTAATTTTTAAAGATACCTACAATTTGATGAAAATTATAAATGTAGAAAAAAGTTTATATTAATATTTTGAAATCACACAGATTGGATAAAGGTAAAAAAACTCTTTCAGATTGCTAATTGTAGCAGACACTAAAGAAATAACTCAGAGATATAGTATGTAATACATGAATGACTTTTATATTAGAATCTAAGCACCAAAGTGCTATAAAAGTAAATGTTGAACAAAGATAGAACATTTGTGACTGGCACTGTTGGGCTATCTGAAAGCCATTTCTAACCCTCTTCTTCTTTGCCTCCCTCCCACCATAGAATTTGCTCTTAGCATCTTGCAATGAAGGATAAGTAAGGGACTCAGTTCTGCCAATAAGCTTCCAGGAAACACTTTCTTTGGTAGGAGAGTGGCATGAGAAGAGTTCCTTCCTGTGAACGTGGCTAGGAGCCACTATAGCCACCATGAGATCAAGCCACCATGTCAGAAAAACCAAAAACATATAGGAAAGCCAACCTAGAGCTGTCACATCACTAAGCTACTGAACCAAAACCAATAAATGCCTACCTCCAAGCAGCTAAGTACATAAGAAAAATAAATCCTGACTTCTTTAAGTCACTATCAATCAGGTTTTCAGTGATGTCTAGCTTTACATTCCCTACCAAAATAACCAAAGAGTAGGGAAGAGTGCTGAATGAAGTTTGAACCTTGTCATAGATCAATAGGTTATTTAATCATTACGGCATTCAGATAGTATTGAATGATCTCATAAAGGCTGCCAGCCCTAAAATTCTATTTAACGATATAAAGCAAAACCAAAGCACCCTACTGCCAATAACACCTGTATATTAAGAGATCTGAAGACTAAATGATATATTTCTACTTTGCTTCACAAATAATTTAATGATATTCCTCCCATAAAACTACAGGTATAATGAAATGTTAATAATATAATTAGTAAATAAGCATGTGGGTCATTGGTATCTTGAAAGCTATGCCTCTGTAAAATCTAGGTATCTACAAAGCGGAAGAAGGAGACAGGAAACAGGAGCCTGCAAACCAAATGAAAGTTTGTAAGCACAGAATAGAGCCATGGGAGCTTAATCACTTCAATTTAATTTAATCTGCTGGGATTAATGTGTTCATTGAATGCCCACTATGTGCCTGAAACAATTCTAAATGCTGAGAAAATAACAGCAACAGTAACAGCTACCGTTTATTGAGAATTTCCTAGACACTAGTCATTGTTAAAATCACTTTAATATGTATTGGTTTATTTAATACTTATAGTAACTCTGAGGTAAGTGTTATTATCCCCATTTTTCAAATAAATTTTACAGAAACAGTGACAGATGAGTAAATGGTCCAGGGCCATTCGATTAGTAAATGGCAGAGCTAGAAAAAATACCCTGCCCTTAACATTATATGGCTTTTCAATAGTAAACAGAACTCACTAACAGTGATAAATGGAAGTAATAGCTTCAAGGGCCCTATAGTTTTCTTTTATAGTCTTCTTTTTACTTTTATCTTTTATAAAGATAAAAGTAAATACGTATTTATACTAGAAAATGCAAGGTGCCATGTTGGGTTTTAGGTGCCCAATCCCTTTTAGGAACCCAAGTTCCTTACCAATATGTAAAGAAGAATCACAAAGATTGATGATTAAAATATGAATTTTAGTACTGATAAAGCTATTAGAAACCATGGCTTAGGTATGTAGCAGCCACAAGCTAGGTCCTTAACCACTATAATCAAACAGACTAACCCACTCATTTCCACTGCGGAGGGACCCTATAAAACAATGCACAGGGCAGAATGTGTGTTTCTGCAGGCTGCTGCCTCCCAAAATAAGGTGGAGGAGAAGGGCTGCACTACCCATGCCAATTCCTGCTTCTAAATTTATGAAGCAGAACACTCTTCTCCTCTGGGAAGAATAAATGGTGGAGAAGAGGAGTGGAAGCTACAAATTCAGTAATTCTAATCAATACCCCCACTGGATTTTTCATGGAACTAGATTAGCTTTAAACAAGCTGCAGGTATTTAATACAAAGCAATACTAATTAAGATAGGATAATACTGACACAGGGAAACAGATAATACTGAAGAAAAAGTCTAGAAAATCAACCATGCATTTGACATGCATATAACATGTCATGTCATAACCATGCATATAACAACTTGACATATGACATATGTGGCATTACAAGTCAGAGGGAAAATGACTTAGTGGTAGGTGAAATTTTTTTAAGGAGCATACAAAGGACATTAACAATATAGGGAAAGATAAGCAAACTGGCCTATGTTTAAATTAGGAACTCCTATTTCTAACTTTAGTTTTTAAGACAGATATAATTAAGAGAATGAAAAGGTAACTACAGAGTAGGAAAAGATATGTGCGACAAATATAGTTGAAAAATGATTCATTTCTAAAATATGTAAATAAGATCCACAAATAAATATGAAAAAGACAACTCAACAGGCTTGAATGGAAATTTTGTATGAGGATATCTTGATGGCCTATATACATATGGAAAAGTACTCATCTACATTAGTCTCCAGTGAAATGCAAATTAAAATCACTAATACACATCCATAAGAAGAACTAAAATTAAAAAAGGCAGACAATACCAAGCTCTGGCAAAGATATGGTGCAACAAGAACACTCATACTGCTACTGGTGGGAGTGTAAACTGCAGCAACCAGTTTGGAAAGTTATTTGGCTGCATCTTTTAAAGCTGAGCATATGCATATTAAATGGTCCAACAATTCTACTTCTAAGTATATACTCAGCAGAAATGAGTACATATGTCCACCAAAACGCATGAACAAGAATGTTTATAGCAGCACTATTCATAAACAGCCAAATATTTATCAATCTCTGAATAAATAAGTCGTGGTATGTGGTACAATGAAATACTATAGAACAATTAGATTTAAAAAAAAAGACAACTACAAATAACACCATGGATAAAACTCACAGACATAATGTTGGGTAAAAGAAGCCAAACACATTTCACTATGTGTATATGTATATCAAAATATCATGTTGTACATTGTATATACAACTAAATAAAGAAATTACAAGAAGCTAGACACAGAGTCTATATTTTTTGTAGTTTCATTTATACAAATTTCATAACCAGGCAGTTCTAATCTAAGATATTAGGATAGAGAGGTTAACCTAGTATGGCAGGGGAAATGAATAGTAGCAGGGAGCAGCATAAGGGGAGGTTCTGGGGTACTGGTAATTGACTGTTGCTTGATCTGGGCATTTGGTACATGAGTATTGTTCTGTTTTTGATAATTCCTAGGTTGTACACCTAAAATTTATGCATGTTGAATGTATGTTTTATTTCAATGAAAGTTTACTCTTAAAAAGGAAAGTTTAGATGTGTGGTGGATAAATGACAACCTCCCCTGGCCCAACACGTCTATATCCTAATCTTTGGAGCATAAGAATGTTCCATTTACGAGTAAAATGCAAAATGGGAATACATTATATGATAAAAGGGATGTGGCATATGTGATAAGTTAAGAACATTAAAATGAAGAGATTATTGGGATTATCCAGGTAGATTCAATGCACTCAAACATGTCCTTATTGGAGGAACATAGAGATTTATCTACAGAAAAAGCTGGCCAAGTGATGCATCATGCAAACAGCTATTGCAGATTTTCAAGATGGAGGAAGGGGCCATGAGCCAAGGAATGAAGGCAGCTTCTAGAAGCTGCAAAAGGCAAGAAAACAGTGTCATCCCTGAAACCTCTAAAAGGAATGCAGTCCTATCAATCCCTTGATCTTAGGCATCTAAGCTCCAGAACAACAAAAGAAAAAATCTGTGTTTTAGAATACTAAGCTCATGGTAATTATTACAGTAATAGGAAACTAACACATGATGCTTCCAAATATTTAAATGTATGAAAGTGAGGGCTTTCAGAAAATAAGAATGAGACAAAACATGATTTAGAAAATGATAAGAAAGTAATAACAATTACAGCAGTCTGAAAATACAAAAAAACTAGTGTGGGTACTGGTAGATGTTTTTATGTCTGCTAAAGCTGAGGTTAGATGTCAGTGAAATTGTTGAAGAATTTAAGTGGACTACATCAGAGGATTGTAAAATCCATACCAATTTTAAGGTCGAAAACCTACAAAGTAAAGTGCAAAAAAGAAAAAAAAATTTAATCAATACCAATTTTTAATATGCCAATGAAATTTAGCCAGTATATATTGTACACATAAAATGTCTCGGTCACTATATTACATATTTTCACATCTATTATCCCCAAAGGTTGTGACTTTTTTTTCTTAAAAAATAAAAAATAGGGAGGGCAAAGAGAGTAAAATAATGTATTGCCCCTGATATCTTAAAGTAGCAGAACTGGGATATGAACTCAAAAATTCCACTTTTTTTAATATAAAAAAAGTGAAACACACACAAAAGTTCCAGTTAGACACAGAAGTACACTTTAAAAATACTTTTAGAACATAGTGCATCTTCATTTTATGTAATTAAAATCTTCTTACTTTGTTTCATGTAGTGTTCTTTTTCTAAATCGAAGAGGTGTTATCTTTGAGTCTGGAAGGATGTTATCACTTTCCTTTTGCTCAATTGCTAAATTTTGTTCTGGATCACTGATTACAGCTCTATACAGGAAAATAAAAAGTCTGACAATTAAATGTGATCATGCATTACTTTAAAATTCACATATTTATAAGCAGTTCTGAAAGCTCGTATACCAAATGCAAATTTACAACACTGTCAGAATATTTTTATCAGATTAAATAGTTTTATTAAATAATACCTCCCATGAGAAAGTAACTATTCCCACCTCTTTTTTCAGTATTATCTAAAACTGAATTGAAATTTCGGAGGGAGCTAAGAGCTCCATGTTTTCATTTTACTATTCTTTAAACAAGCAGACACAGTGCTTGTTTCTGATAATATGGAGGTGGGTAGGTAGAGTAAAATAAAAATATAAAGTGATAAATGCTACAACAGAAATTCAATGAACAAACACAGAATAGAATAACTCAATTCCTAGACGGCATAGAGCAGTTTATGAAAGGCATCCTAGAAGAGGAGATATTTGCACTGATTCTGAAAAGGTGAGAGTACAAGATTTCCTCTCCGGGAGTCCGCGGAGGGAGGGCAGACTCAAAGTGCTCCTGGGGCAGAGACTCTGCCCTTGTCAGAGGGCGCAGATCAGTCAGAACAAAATAAGGATCTGAGCGACTCCAACTTTGCAGCCGTGGCCTCCAGCTCCGAGGTGCACAACAGCCCTGGGTTTCTGGTGGGGGTTCCTCCATCCGCGACCCTGGCAAAGCCACAGAGCCCTCCTCTAGGCCCGACCGCCGCCCCAGGCCCCCACCGACCTGAAGACCCTGCCGCAGGCCGCAGAGAAGGGCAGTGCCCACCAAGCCCCTCGTGTGGCCCAGCCTGACCCGGCACAGCTGGTGCAGAGGGCGCACGAGCTTGTGCCGTACGAGCTGGTCAGGGACTAGAAGATGATGATCATCTGGTTTCCATACATGGTAAAGGATGTCATGGGCAGCTACAAGAAGTGGTAGAGGGGCATCTTCAGGCTGACCAGCCTCATCCTCGCCCAGGTGTTCGGGCTGCACCAGAGGCCCTCCAACAGAAAAGTCAAGGCCCCTCTCTTCATGACCTTGCTGGGCACAGAAAACATCCTGGCAGAGTGAACTGATTTGAACCAAACAGATCTCAACGTGAGCACTTGGCACACTTTACTCAACACATTTACAACCTCACCATGAGTCAATGTTAAAATAAACATTAAAGATTCTTATGACACAATCAAAAAAAAAAAGAAAAAGCTGAATACAAGTTAGCACTTAGAAGAGAAGGAGTAAGGTTACCACAAGAAAGGAACAATATGTGTACAGCCACAGGACTAGACAGCACAGTAAGAACACACCTGAGGACTGCACACAATGTAACAGATGAGAGTATGAACTCCAACTAGGCAGCCTGGATTCAATCCTTGCCTGTCGCAATAATTAGCTGTGTGGCCTTATCTAGCCATTTTGCTTTGGGCCAAAGTTTTCTCATGAATAAAAGAAAGAATAATGGTATCTCCCACACAGAACTGCTGTGAAGATTAAATAAATTCGTTACCATATACATATTGTTTAGGAGAGTAGCAATTACCTAATAAGTATTATAGAAGCACTCAATAGGTGAGGCTTTGCCTCCTCATTCCTCTCTTATTGCATATTTTACTGACTATGAATAAATATAGAGGCATGATAGCCCATCGGGTGGCATTGCAATGAGCTAGAAAAGTGATAGTAAGGGTCTGCACTAAAGTGGCGGTAAATACATGGTTTGATAGAGGATAAAAGATCCAGTGTTCCATAGATCAGGAGGGTGACTATAGTTACAATAATATATTGTACACTTCAAAGTAGCTAGAAGAGAATAATTCAAATGTTTCTAACATACAGAAAAGACAAATATTTAAGGTTATGGATATCCCACGTACTCTGATTTGATCTTTACAAATTATATTATTAAATTATCTTGTGTACCCCAAAACTATAAAATATATAAATACAAGAGAACACAAACAAAATAATAAGTAAATAAATAGACAAAGTAGAAATAATAAATTCAAGAAACACTGATAGAACTAAAAAAAACTAATTGGATTTGAGATCATCAAGTAGAAAGATAATGTAGTAACTAAACAGTGTGAAATGAGATTCAATTAATAATATAAGGAACATGGGTGTCATATTGTGGTTTTACGACAGGAAAATAGGGTCTGGAAGCAGGAAACCCAAGGTCCATTCACGCTGACTTCCTAGAACTAAATCAAAAGGAAAACCCCAACTTTCCACACCCAAGTAACAAAAGGACCAGAGGCTACCCTCTTTGAAACCATCCCCCTTTTCTGGGTGGCATATGAAAAATTGGAAGTACCTCTGATTGGTTCCCTCCCATGACCAGTCAGGCTAATTGTAGGCCAAGTCTAAATTTGCATAAAAAGATAACTTTATAACTTCACTTCAGCCTTTGATTGGTCACTTTCCACAACCAATAAGATGTTTGCATAGGGTGTAAGTTTGTAACTTCACTTCAGCTACTGATTGGTCACTTTCTACAACTAATCAGACTGATTTTGGCCCACTTCTTCATTTACATAGGGTGTACACCAAGTAACAATGGAAAACCTCTAAAGGGTATTTAAACCCCAGAAAATTCTGCAATCAGGCCCTTGAGCCACTTGCTCAAGGCTGCTCCCACCCTGTAAAGAATACTTTCAGTTTCAATAAATCTCTGCTTTTGTTGCTTCATTCTTTCCTTGCTTTGCTTTTGTGTTTTGTCCAATTCTTTGTTCAAAGCACAAAGAACCTAGATACCCTCCACCAGTAACAGTTTTGGTTTGTTATTGTTTTTATTAATATTATTTTAAGGGTAAGAATGATAGGTTATTCTCATATCCTTATGAGCCAGGAAAATAGGGGAAATTATTCAGGAAAATAGCTAAAGGAATTAAAAGTTGGATAAAGGACAGAATGGGTAAAAGCAAGAGAGCAGAAGCAAGGTGAAGGGGTGAGTGAGCAAGAAGTGAGATAAGAAGCAGAAGTTCAGCAGCCAAAACAAAAGTGAGATTAAAAAGTGAGTAAGTATCCCCCGTGGCCAGCTAGATTTGTACCAAACCTGTCAGGGGCAGCTCCTCAGAGATGGGCATGCTCATTAAAAAGAAGAAGCATCCTTAAAACGACCCTATATGGTAATTAGCTACTTAAGGTTTATGCATATGGACAGCATATCATGTATGTACTTAAAATTATAGAATGGAGGTGACACGCAAATTCACAAGGACCAAAGTAACTAAGCAACACCTATCAATCAAAAGGCAGACATTAGCTAGAGATTAGGCATCCTTGGGAAGAAGAGAAAAAAAA